GGTCCGTCCTGGACCATTCTCACAATCAACTTGAGAATGGTCCAGGACGGACCGAAACGTGGTCGTCCCTTCACCTTCTAGCGTGTGGTCTGGTCAAGATATTAGATACATCTTTAATTACAAACGAAGACTATTCATATACACATGGTGTGGAGAGATGGTGTTGACACACGCTGATAACCCCATCAAGATGGGGTTATCAGCGTTAACACATACACTAGGACTTTAACCCTGGCCAGATGTAACCCGACCCGGACCACAAGTATACTCATTGTACTCTACTGCTGGACATCTCTGGCCTCCAAACTTATACCCCAAACCTTTCACAGATACCTAGAGTGACGGCGTGACCTGTGCAGCAAGGACCATACTCGCCCCCTACTGGCTCAACCAACATCTTAGCCCCAACAACACTCAGGTTGTCGCACCAAAACACTAATCAGTAGTGGACCAATTTGACAGCCGCCAACTGCTTTATCACCACCACCGCCACAGTTATCGCCACAATTTTTTCCGGTTGTGGAGAGGTGAGGGGGATGGTGGGGGTAGAGGATGGGGGCTAGCCCCCCCCCACCGCCATCCCTTCCACGGCGACTCGCCAATAGCAAAGATGGAGACGAGTCTACTCTAGACCCTACACCTGGTTGATGGGGTTCTGGGAGTTGTTCCCAAGCCCGGCCCGAGGCCAGGCTTGACTTGTGAGAGTTTGGTCCACCAGGCTGTTGCTTGGAGCGGCCCGCAGGCCCACATACCCACCACAGCCTGGTTGGTCCGGCACTCCTTGGAGAAAACAATCTTAGTTTCCTCTTGAAGTCACCTGCTTGTAATTACGTAATGACAGTCCCCCCCCCCCTCTGGTCCAAGACGCTGCCCCATCACCATATGAGGATAACACAGGTGCCACAGGATCACACCAAGATAACACAGGTGCCACAGGATCACACCAAGATAACACAGACGCCACAGGATCACACCAAGATAACACAGGTGCCACAGGATCACACCAAGATAACACAGGCGCTACAGGATCACACCAAGATAACACAGGCGCCACAGGATCACACCAAGATAACACAGACGCCACAGGATCACACCAAGATAACACAGGCGCCACAGGATCACACCAAGATAACACAGGCGCCACAGGATCACACCAAGATAACACAGGCGCCACAGGATCACACTAAGATAACACAGGCGCCACAGGATCACACCAAGATAACACAGGTGACACAGGATCACACCAAGATAACACAGGTGACACAGGATCACACCAAGATAACACAGGCGTCACAGGATCACACCAACGCCATTAAGAGAGGGAACACCAAATGTTGCCCAGAGCAGGACAAGTGACCTTGGGGTATACACTACCATGACAACCCAGACATATTGTCCAAAGGTGTGGCAAGGTATTCACTGGGGATCTCAACACTGCCACCCATCATTATACATTGTATTTGGACATTAACCCTCTTCCCCCCCCCCTCCCCCAACGTCAAAATATAATGTACAATGAAATCATAGCGACTAGCAAATTTGATGGGGATGGCACGTTTTCTAGTAAGGGGTCCCGTTAGGTTAGGTTCGGGCAAATGTAGTTCATTTTTGTAAAGTCATCCAAGTGTTTAGGTAGTACTTATAGTAAGCATGTGGTTATCTTGAGATGATTTCGGGGCTTTAGTGTCCCCGTGGCCCGGTCCTCGACAACTCACTAACACCCAGGTACCTATTTTACTGCTAGGTAATAGGGGCATAGGGTGAAAAACTCTGCCCATTGTTTCTCGCCGGCGCCTGGGATCGAACCCGGGACCTCAGGATCACAAGTCCAGTGTGCTGTCCGCTCGGCCGACCGGCTCCCTTGTACTCACCTAGTTGTGCTTGCGGGGGTTGAGCTCTGGCTCTTTGGTCCCGCCTCTCAACCGTCAATCAACAGGTGTACAGATTCCTGAGCCTATCGGGCTCTATCATATCTACACTTGAAACTGTGTATGGAGTCAGCCTCCACCACATCACTTCCTAATGCATTCCATTTGTCAACCACTCTGACACTAAAAAAGTTTTCTAATATCTCTGTGGCTCATTTGGGCACTCAGTTTCCACCTGTGTCCCCTTGTGCGTGTTCCCCTTGGATCATTGTATCATTGTACGTGTATAATGACGTAATGGACAATTACACAAAGAGGAATATGGACAAACTAATGTTTTGTATTCATGTTGCTAGTAAAACGATTATCCTACTCCTAATATGGTATATATGTGCTACACTAGGCCTGGGAATGTGGGGGGGGGGGAGTAGACACTCCTGCCCCCCACCTGGTCTCTGACCAACAGGCCTGGTCAGAGACCGGGCCGCGGGAACCTTGGCCCCCCGAATCAACGCAAGGTAATTCCTCCCCCCTCGTATTTGTGAAGGCCAACATCCCTACAATGAAGCAGTGAATACAATAGCAACATTCCCGCACTACAGTAATACTACAACACCCCCACAATACAGCAGTACACCACCACAACACCCCCACAATACATCAGTACACCACCACAACAACACAATACAGCAGTACACCACCACAACAACACAATACAGCAGTACACCACAACAACACAATACAGCAGTACACCACAACAACACAATACAGCAGTACACCACAACAACACAATACAGCAGTACACCACAACACAATACAGCAGTACACCACAACAACACAATACAGCAGTACACCACAACACAATACAGCAGTACACCACAACAACACAATACAACAACACAATACAGCAGTACACCACAACAACACAATACAGCAGTACACCACAACAACACAATACAGCAGTACACAACAACACAATACAGCAGTACACAACAACAACACAATACAGCAGTACACCACAACAACACAATACAGCAGTACACCACAACAACACAATACAGCAGTACACCACAACACAATACAGCAGTACACCACAACAACACAATACAGCAGTACACCACAACAACACAATACAGCAGTACACAACAACACAATACAGCAGTACACCACAACAACACAATACAGCAGTACACCACAACAACACAATACAGCAGTACACCACAACAACACAATACAGCAGTACACCACAACACAATACAGCAGTACACCACAACAACACAATACAGCAGTACACCACAACACAATACAGCAGTACACCACAACAACACAATACAGCAGTACACCACAACAACACAATACAGCAGTACACCACAACACCACAATACAGCAGTACACCACAACAACACAATACAGCAGTACACCACAACAACACAATACAGCAGTACACCACAACAACACAATACAGCAGTACACCACAACAACACACTACACCAGTACACCACAACAACACACTACACCAGTACACCACAACAACACACTACACCAGTACACCACAACAACACAATACAGCAGTACACCACAACACAATACAGCAGTACACCACAACAACACAATACACCAGTACACCACAACACCACCCCCACAATACAGAAGTACACCACAACAACACCCCCACAATACAGAAGTACACCACACCACCACCACAATACAGCAGTACACCACAACAACACAATACAGCAGTACACCACAACAACAATACACCACAATACAGCAGTACACCACAACACCACAGTACAGCAGTACACCACAACACCACAGTACAGCAGTACACCACAACACCACAGTACAGCAGTACACCACCACAACACACCACAATACAGCAGTACACCACCACAACAACAATACACCACCACAATACAGCAGTACACCACCACAACAACAATACACCACCACAATACAGCAGTACACCACCACAACAACAATACACCACAGTACAGCAGTACACCACAACACCACCACAATACAGCAATAAACCACCACAACAACAATACACCACCACAATACCACTATCTGTTAACATCAGGTCTTGCTACAATATTTACACGTAGTGTCACCAGCAACCTCAGGCTCCCCTGCCCTATGCTCCTCTCACACGCCAATAACCAGTTACAACACGCACACAAAACAGGTAAATGTGTGTGTGTGTGTATGTCGAGGTTTAGCAACACACAACTGGGGGTTGATCTCACCAGACCTGTCCCCCTCAAGCCTCACATTGAAATGATATCATCATCGGCGTATGCAAACTGGCGAACATATGAACTACCTTCAGGAACTTATGTTAGGAATCTTTCAGAATTGTGTATACCACACATGTCAGACCATTACTGAAATATGCAGCTCCAGCATGGAGGCCACATCTAGTCGAACACAAAATGAAGTTAGAAAAGGTTCAGAGGTATGCCACAGGCTAGTCTTCCAGCTGTGAGAGATGAGGAAAGATTACTGGAACTGAACCTCACGACACTAGACGACAGAGTTAGGGGAGACATGATCACTACCTACATAATTCTCAAGAGAAAGTGTTTAACACTAGTGGCACACGAACCAGGGGACACAGGAGGAAACTGAGTACCCAAATGAGCCACAGAAACATTAGAAAGAATTTTATTTCAGTGTGGGAGTAGTTAACAGATGGAATGCATTAGGCAGTGATGTGGTGGAGGCTGACTCCATACACAGTTTATAATATAGATATGATAGAGCCCAATAGGCTCAGGAACCTGTACACCAGCTGCCAGACAGGTGAGAGGCGGGACCAGAGAGCCAGAGCTCAACCCTCACCAGCACAAGGTGAAGACAACCATCCCGGAGCCTCCGTCCCCCGACACTTCCTGTCACCTCAAAACAAACCTTCACAAAATCTTGCCTACACCGCCCGGACCTCCCCCCAGGGGCCAGTATACGCCACAATACACCACGAGGGAGGCGCCATACGCCACATATACACCCAATATACGCAGCAAGGAACACCAGGAGAGAGACAAACATTTCCCCCATACAAGCTTGAGGTGGTGAAGCCAGCGCTCAGCTGATCTCCCACGTCAACACCTATTACCGCCCCTTACTCACCTCTGGGTGCTGCTCTGCGACATTATTCCCGCTCGGGTCAGATCACTACCATATTAGATAGCAGTCATAATCATACAGGCTCGGCCTGGCACCGTTTTACCACTTAAAATCCGAAAAGAGTGTAGGAGCCGCGCGCGTCGCCGCCACTCCACTCAGAACAACATGGCGCTTGTATTTTGGCGCCCAAACCTGTGGGTGGTGGGAGCCGTCCGCTGATTGGCTCCTCCTGCGCACCCAACCCCGCGCATCCTCCCCACATTTTATCCCTCCATCACCCCGCCTTGTGCACCCATCCATTTATTCTCCTTCCTGCATCATCGCTGACGATTCCCCATCGCTACAAACATAGCCTCATCCCCCATCCCCACCATCCTTGGTGTCTATCAACCATCCACCCCATCCTACCTCAAAATTCCCCCATTTTCCCCCTTACACAACACAAATTCCCCCACCCATTCCCACACCTCTTCCCTATCACCCCCTCTACCTCCCCCACCCTATGACAAATATCCCCCCGTCCCCCACCCCCAAGTGAGGCGCATCATTGGAACACCCTTAATGACAGACTTCTAAAACATTGTAAATATTCATCGCGAAATGCAAGTGTTCGCCTTTCAAACAAATTTATTTATGAAGCCACATTGGGTTTATTAGAGTACATAGCACTGATGTTCTTATATTCTTGTATAGTCACTAACACGCATAGCGTTTCGGGCATATATTAAACTGCAGAATGTAATTAAACAGTTCTTGAATACAGTACTTATAATATAATATGTATAAACAATGACATTCTCTTGTCAAGAATTACCATTTATACAAAAAAAATGTATAAAAATGGAATATAGCAAACATTTTGTAAAAGTCTGCTATAAATCATAATTTAGCAGTCAATCATTCAGTTCTAATTGTACAACAAAATAAAAATTATATTAACACTTCCTCTTTTGCTTGAATAAATTATTGTAATTCACAATTCCATTTATATTGAAGGTGGTGATGGAGAGAGGGTACCATTTAACCCACTAAATTACACATTTTTATATATATAAAATGTGCAAGTGTGCCTCGGATACAGTCCCCAGGATAAGGTCGAAGGTCAGACAAGCCAGCAAGGTCAACTGGGTCATGCTCTTATGAACAGATGTGACAATTATTGGTTTGTATTTATATACAAAAACGGTACAATGGGTTGGAAGAGAACATAATATCTGTGTTCTTACATTCTTGCAAAGTTGCTCATGCTCTCAGTCATTAGGGCAAATGGGGGGGGGGACTTAACAAGCCGCCGGCTTCCTGTCCTCGTCGAGGATAGTATTAGTAGCCCTCAGGTAAATTCAGGTAAATGCCCTTGCACAAATCTCAGGCAAATCTTTCTAGTCATACTTTTACCACTACTATAGTCATACTTTCTGAAATTTACAAAAAGGATTGATCAATTGGCCTCTTCATTGTCATGAGAAAGGCATTTAATACTGTAAACCATAACTATCTCTTATATAAACTTCACCACTATGGAATCCGAGGCCTCACCCTGAACTATATTCCATCATATCTACATGACAGACGCCAACATGTAACCAGCAGTGACATTACTCTTTGCTGGAGATCAGTACTCCAGCGAGATGAAGAGCAGGGGTCGCGACCTGACCCCAGCACCTGTACTCTGCTGCAGGTCCAGGTCATGTCGGCACCAGTGATGTCATGTCAACTCTAGCAAGGATACAGTCATGGGATAGACCAGTGATGCTGCTGCCTCGTGTTGGTGTAGAGGTTCCTAGAGGTTGACAAGCTAGCCGAAGCAGTCACCTGCCACACATCCCACCCAAGGTACAGCAAACACAATTAGGGGAATACACTGACAGTTGAGAGGCGGTCCCAAAGAGCCAGAGCTCAACCCCCGCAAGCTCAACTAAGGAAGTACATGGTCCAACAGCTTCATCAGCATTACCATAATGAAATAGCAACAGCTGTTAGTGACGAGGTCATTTTCTCAAACTAATATTCTCCATAAATTGTAAACTAGACTGATGCAGAGGAACTAGTGCAAGGATCACTGGACCTTACATAGCCTCTTACGTCATCTTTAACCTGTCTTAACTACCTGACCTTACCTGCTGGGTTAAACAGGTGTTATGCTGCCACCAGGAGGAGGGTACATGGAGCCAGGGAACGCTGCCCAACGGTTACGGCTAAACGGACCTACAGTCTGGTAAAATATCAAGAAGCAGATTTGAAGCCTAACTGTGAAATTAATGTTGGTCCTTAACACCTCATGATACCCTTCCTAATACTTCCCCGTGTCGCCAGGGGCTTCAAACATGGTCCAAGTGACACCACACATGTAGCACGTATATTATGCCAATAATATACTGGCTACAATGTAGCCAGTATATTTTGGGATAATCTAGATGGAATGGTAAAGATTAAGCAACCCAAGAGGTGGCACGGGCATGACTAGCCCGTAAGGGATAATCTACTCGCTACACACATTATATATCCCACCACTAATGCTATAATTACCCCGCCCCATGACCTGGCATAGTCTCAGAGGAAGGAAAAGGGGGGGGGGGGATTATGGAGCAACAATAACACGTCACGGAAGGTAGCAGGAGACTGGTGTACATGGCGATTGATTGATTGATGAAGATTAAGCCATCCAAAAGGTGGCACGGGCATGAATAGCCCGTAAGTGATGGCTCTTTTGAGCCATTACCAGTATCAAGAGCTGATACTGGAGATCTGTGGAGGTGCGACTGCACCCTGCGTGACGGGAGATGTCTCCCGTGGTGTACATGAGATTGATTGATTGATGAAGATTAAGCCACCCAAGAGGTGGCACGGGCATGAATAGCCCGTAAGTGGTGGCCCTTTCGAGCCATTACCAGTATCAAAAGATGATACTGGAGATCTGTGGAGGCGCAACTGCACCCTGCGTGACGGGAGATGTCTCCCGGACCAAGTGGTGACCAAATGGTGTGTACATGAGATGATGATGATGAAGATTAAGCCACCCAAAAGGTGGCACGGGCATGAATAGCCCGTAAGTGGTGGCCATTTTAAGCCATTACCAGTATCAAGAGCTGATACTGGAGATCTGTGGAGGTGCGAATGCACCCTGCATGATGGGAGATGTCTCCCTTGTGAATGTGTTAAGATGAAGATGAAGCCACCCAATAGGTGGCACGGGCATGAATTGGTAAGTGGTGGCCCTTTTGAGCCATCACCAGTATCAATAGATGATACTGGAGATCTGTGGAGGTGCGTCTGCACCCAGCGTGACGGGAGATGTCTCCCGTGTTTTAAACAGATGAAGATGAAGCCACCCAAAAGATGGCACGGGCATGAATAGCTCGTAAGTGGTGGCCCTTTCGAGCCATTACCAGTATCAAGAGCTGATACTGGAGATCTGTGGAGGTGCAACTGCACCCTGCGTGACGGGAGATGTCTCCCGGACCAAGTGTGTGGAGGGCACCTGCCTGTACATGAGGGCACCTGTCTTGTTATATACCGTGACGACTCCTGGTGTGGCTACGTGGACCCGCACCAACTCTTATACAACACAACACTCAGTCTTCACCACAACACCTTCACTACACCTACAGTCATGACTGGGTCTCACCTGCAGTCAATGATGCCTCGCTGCACACGTTGGCTTCACCCGCAGGGTCCTCACCAGCTGAGAGGAGTAGGTGTAATGTTAGCGACATCACCGATAACCTCCACAGTGGCCAAGATGCCCGCCTTACTGACCTCACTCACCATTCTCTTAACAACAATTGTCATCGTACATGAACAGTTTCGGACGTACACTACATATATTGTGACCAGCAAGGTCTCCCGGACAACATCGCGGCCATACACACTGTATCTACCTTTACTAATGGTCTTAACTGCTACACGAGGGTGAGACAAAGGCTCCCAATAGCCATTGTTCACAATGGCTCAAATTCTACTGTCTAGACTGATTGGCTCATTTGGATTCTTAACTTCCATGTGTGTGCGCACCAGTGTTCTTGCACCACCTGCTCTACACGGTCCTTGTCTTCTCAATTACCACCAGAATGTTTCCTGATAATACTCCCCTAACCCCTAGCTTTTTGGTTTTGCTTTTGCAGGGATATTCCTGCGCGGGCCCTAAGCCTCTGGCTGGCCCACTAAGTGTTGCTTGTTTCTGTTTTACTTGGGCGGAGTATGAGTATTTATGACTCGTATGGTCGCTAAAGTAAGATTTTGCCATATGTTTAACAACTTCCTCTGCTCTGTTGAATCTATGTTGAAATCTTAATGGGTTTGTAACTGTGCACTGTGTTAGATAATGTTCCAGTGGTCTGTCTGTGGTCCGGAACCTGTAAGCCTATTTCCCATGCACAAGGGTATCCAAGCCTGATGCGATGTAAGTGTACTTCTGTTGCTCTACTGCTCCCTTTCATCAAACTAAGTGGTTCGTAGTTAGTTAAATTCTTGTACCAACCCGCAGATCCTGATGTTGCAACTGCTGTGTTGTGGTCACTGTACATCTTTTGCATTGCTCTGTTTCTAATTACTTAATCTGTGATAGACTCTGTAGGATGTCAATGTCTACATTTCTTCTCTTAATTGCAAGTTTTGCAGCTTCGTTTGCAATGTCATTTCCTATTATTCCCACATGAACCCTAGCTAATATTGCTTCATTTTATAATCTTTTTAGCTCATACCTCTCGACTTGAGGACTTGTCCTGTAGCGTACTTCTGGACCAGCTATGTTTTTTGTTTAATAATTCATTGTGTCCGGGGACAGGCAGCCATTGTATATATACATGTTAGGCTTATATGGAGATTCCCTCCGCCCAGGTCGAACTAATGACCCCTCCCCGGGATACTACCCCACAACAAGCTGGCTAACTCCCGAGTATCTATTTACTGCTAGGTGAACAGATGCATTAGGCGATAGGAATCGTGTCGAACCATAATTTATGTCTCGCTCGGGATTCTAATAAAATTCTCTATTGCCAGTCTAAGACGAACCAAGCTGTACTACAGAGACCGTTAATCTGACCTAATTCCTATAGTCGGGGACAGCAAGCCTGTGGGTATGTATACATGTATATATCTCGCACACACTTTAGGCTTATATCGAGGTCCCAAGGTCGAATTGCTAACCTTGCACAGGATGCAACCCCACAACAGTTGCCTGGATCCCGGGTAACAGGGTGAACAGTGCCATTAGTATAGGTCTTACATTATTCCTTAATATTCTTAAAGATTGTCATTACGTTGGCCAACCTGGCATCTACCACTAATGACCCGAGTTTGATGAGGGCTTCGGGAGCAGCCCTCGGGGGGGAAAGTTTGATCTCACGAGACCTGTCTCCAGGTGTGACGTCAACCCCTCACATTTTTCTCTACCTAATTTTTGGGGAGGTCTGCCCTTCTCCCAGCACCCTCAATATATTTATATGGCGGGTACATATCAAATATGAATTATATTTATTTTGTAATTTAAGTAATATTCAGAATACTAAAAAATAATAATTTAGTTGTTGGCGACGCGTTGTTATTGTGTATATAGGGTTTACCCAATGTACCTTCTTGTATATAAATAACTAAACTAAATAAATAAATAAAAAATAAATAAGTATCAGAGTGTAAGCGACGGCTGTGGGCGCCTCGGAGTGTAAGCGACGTCACCTGGTAAACATGCTTCTTCATTCTACAATGTTCCTACTATGCACGTGACGAAGAATATAAAGTTTGTAGGTGCCAATAATTCTTTGACGATAACAAGCTTGGGATTAAGATCATTTGACTTCAGTGCAAGATGACACTTCTTCCATTTGTATGGGTGATTGTTTGTAAACACTGAAGTCCAAGGTTAAGAGGTTGGTTAGTCCCTGCAGATTAGGGCCCAGCTTGATAAGTGTGTTATATTAAGACCCTGGTTATGGTCAGGTTTGTTTGGGCCAGGGTTGGTGTCATATAAATGAGCTTTGTAGCCACTGCAAAGTTAGACACAATTGAACATTATCTCTGTTCACTGCTGATGTTACAGTGCCAGAATAGATTTTAAACACAAACGTATCGCCCTCAAAGTGCCCTTGAGCACTGAACAAATTAGGGGAAGTAGTAGTTTCACTACATAGGGTCCCTTAGTACAGTGGGCTTCGTTCAGGACTTGCACTCGGGGAGCCCAGGTTTGATTACCGGGCAGGATTGAAATGGTTAGGCACATTTCCTTTCACATCATGGCTCTGTTTAGTTACAAGTCAACATTAATATATTTACCTTAGCAGGAGGATGAGTTGTGTGCGTCGCGTGGTAGTGACTGGACTTGGACTAGTGACACCTCTCGGAGTTGGAACACCTCATAACTGGCTCCGTTTGACTTCTGGCAAGGTAGCAACTTCGGCGCTCGCAGATCCTCGCTTCTCACAGGTGGGAACTTTGGAAATAAAATAGTTATTAGGGTGAGACAGAGGCAGTCTATATGGTGCTACACAGAGATGTATAGTTATTCTGGCTTACACTTTATAATTACTGTACATATTTTGTGGTCCTTTATGTGTAACAGGTGCTGTACAGCACTTGTGCTTCTGTAGAAGTGTCATCAGTCTTAACTCATTCAATGCCTAAAATTAACTTGGTCAATTGAGACCGTGCAACCAGCACTTAAAGCTATTTGATCATGACCAATAGCAACTTTCCTGGCAATAGTTCTCATAGATGTATAGTATTTCCCATGTTAGTTACAGTACCATAAACATATGACAGTCGTACTTTTCAGTTTGGTTAGATATTTTTTGCACTCTGACATTACAGTTGAAATTTCAAAGATTACGTAGATTATTGTTGAGGTTGGCTTGGTGTGTCATGCAAGAGCAGCATGCTGTGTAATGGACATATAAATAAATAAATGTTTATTCAGATAAGGTACATACATACAAGGGGTTTTACAAAAAATTCTAGATTTATAGATAGAGCTAGTACATACAATGCCTAAAGCCACTATTACGCAAAGCATTTCGGGCAGAAAACTATTATCTTTGTCTAAAAATATCTATTTAATATTTATTTAAAATATCTTACTTTATCTAAAAATATCTTTATTTAGTGTTCAGGTAGGTACACAGTGGGAATTATCCGACTTTATTTGATATTTAGTAAAAAGTAACTAGGAAAGAACTTATTCAAAGAAATGGTTGATTTATAATTACAGTATTGGAGCCAAGGTGGAGAATGTTGCCACATGTTAAAAAGTTTGAAAGTTTAACCTCCATTAGCATCTGAAGAAACTCATCTTCATTGTTGTTTTGTTATTCTAATTACAAAATTAACTAGCAATCTAGATTTTTTTTAAAACTTAAAAAAATGTGACACTAGGTGATGGAAATACTGTACCAGTATTTGCGCTTGCATGGTCTACCTTTGGCTCATTAGCCAGGTCAGCTTATTCACCTGCTAACCTGTTCATTCTCCTTACAGCGAGTCAGTGATAAATATGAAAGCGCAATCAAAAACTAGTATTTCACCAGTATAGACATTTCACTGCATTTCCTAATGCCACTGGCACATTTTTACACCAGACGTGTTTTATAACATACTATACTGTGAATAAAAGTATATTTTACAGTAAAAAAAAAAATATTCCAAATATACAGCCTTTAATGAATTAAATTGGTTACTGCAAGATCTCTTAACAAAAACCTATGCTGTATGACCCTTCATAGTGTCTGAATGATTGCCAGCTTAGGTTTTAGAGTGAAGCTTACAAGGAGTATTCTACCAACGAATAATATTACAAGAGGCCTCCAAAAGTCCCTGCTTTTGTATCTTTATCTACTACACGATCCATAATTTCCAGTAACTAAGAGCTACAAATCCACAAGGGCCGTGACGAGGATTCGAACCTGCGTCCGAGAGCATCCCAGACGCTGCCTTAATCGATTGAGTTACGACATGGTATGGGATGCTCTGTGACGCAGGTTCGAATCCTCGTCACTGCCCTTGTGGATTTGTTCATTTGATGCATCACGCAATTGTGATTGCTGTGTGTAATTAACAGAGCTACTTTACATCCATATAGCTACACAGGGGCCTGGTAGCCGAGTGGACAGTGAGCGGGACTCTTAATCCTGTAACCTGGGTTTGATTCCTGGACTACAGACAAATGGGCAGAGTTTCTTTCTCCCTGATGCCCTTGTTACCTAGCAGTAAATAGGTACCTGGGAGTTAGACAGCTGTTATGGGCTGGTTCCTGGGTGTGTGTGTGTGTGTGTGTATGTGGAGAAAAATAAATACAAAATTAATACCAGTCGATTGATCGACAGTTGAAAGGCGAGCCGAAAGAGCAGAGCTCAACTGCTTCAAGCACAACTAGGTGAATACAGCTTTAGGATGTTTTAAAAAAAATCCACATGGCTGGGGGAACGAGAGAAAATATCAATGATGGACAATTCTTTGCAATCATGGTCTGCTGGTAGACGTCCATCATACAGTACTGAACTTAAGATTCCACTCTTAAACTTTCTTCATAGAGCATGGAAAATAGAAGAGTATGAATGATTTTTTTAATTTTGCTTTTAACAAGTTTTGGAGGTGCCACCATTACCAAGGCCTAAAGTGTTAAAAATGTTAACACTTTACATTAGGCAGCGACACTGTAGATGACCCACCAATCTCAGCCTCCCTTGCTTCAACACCTTCAGTGGCCCTCTTCCTTTACCTTCACTTTCAAAAATACAGAAAAGCAGGGCTGTATCATTCAACATGAATAAAGCAAAGGGTTTGTTATACAACACAAATTTGTTTGGAAAAAAATAGTGTAATTTTTTTAGTCCAGAAACCATTTTAAATCTGGTTCACAGTTAAAACGACCGACTTGCAAATGCCTTTGTGGAAAGTGTCCCACTTGTAAATTTAGGGACAGTGTTGTACATATATTATAATGTTAACAGGTTCAAAGTTCTTGGCAATTAGAGAATTTATATTTACAAGATTCATTAAAGACTTCACTGTATATACATTTTAAAATTTGTATGTTTCAGATGCCATGTCGTGTGGCTGCGCGTGTTCCTCGAGGAAAGGAGGAGGGAGAACTGGATCTTTCGTCACATTTTAATGCAAGTGAATTGCGTGCAATGACTCCTGCCATTACATTTGCTTTGGTTGCTGCACAAGAGGCCATAGAAGATGCAAAGTGGAAACCAGACGACAGAGATCAACAGGAACGGACAGGTGTAGCTGTAGGAATGGGGATGGTGGACCTGGATGATATTATAGCTACTAATGAGAAGCTCCAATGCAAGTACAGTAAAGTTAGTCCATATTTTGTTCCCAGAATTTTGACCAATATGGCAGCTGGGCAGATTAGCATGAAATATTCTTTTCAGGGCCCTAATCATAGTGTGTCGACAGCATGTGCCACTGGAGCTCATGCTGTTGGCGATGCTTTTCGATTTATTAAAAGTGGCGATGCAGATGTGATGGTATGTGGAGGTACAGAGGCCAGTATAAGTCCATTGAGTATTGCTGGGTTCTGTCGACTCAGAGCACTTGCCACCAATTTTAACGACTGTCCAGAGAGCGCATCTCGACCTTTTGATGCCCAGCGAGAAGGATTCATCATGGGTGAAGGAGCAGGGATACTAGTATTGGAGGAGTATGAGCATGCCAAAGAACGTGGAGCAAATATTTATGGAGAGATCCTAGGTTATGGGTCAACGGGAGATGCACACCATTACACGGCACCAAGAGAAGATGGGAGAGGAGCAGTGAGAGCAATGGCCCGGGCCATCCAGGAAGCACACGTACACCCAGAAGACATTAGATACATAAATGCTCATGCAACATCAACACCTTTAGGAGATGCAATTGAAGTCGAGGCGATAAAGTCACTCTTTAAAGACCACGCTCAAAACCTACATGTGTCTTCAACTAAAGGCGCAATTGGTCACCTGCTGGGAGCAGCTGGTGCAGTGGAGGCTATCCTGACTGTTGTGGCTTGTCATGCTGGCTACATACCTCCCACACTTAACCTCAATAATCCAGGACCCGGTTTGGATCTAGATTTTGTACCAATGGAAGCCAAGGGATGGCTGCAGGTGGCTGACAGAAGAATTGCTCTAACAAATTCTTTTGGATTTGGTGGTACAAATGCTTCTTTGTGTATATCATCTTGTGATTAGTCGAGTAGCATTTATTGGGGCATTTTAATAGGTGGGTCTCGGTTCAGCTACTTTGCTTACTGAGAAAAGTGATATAAAATGTATCAGGTCTGTAAATTATTGAAATGTTAATGTGCTTTATAATATTTAAATTTTGTAATAAAAAACAAAAACAATCTTTTTGTATTCATTATACAAATGATCAGAAAGGAGGAAATATACTTAAAGGGTCTGGCCTTCAGGTGGTGGTGGTCTGAACCTCATTAACCGAGCACTAAACTAGCACTAAACTAGCACTAAACTAGCACTAAACTAGCACTAAACTAGCACTGTACACAATTATTTGTGCAAATAGAGAAATACAAATTAATTTTAATAATATTAAAAGTGTTAGCTTGAAGGAATAATATTTCATTTGATGTGGACTTTCTCGAGTTTGTAAAAAGTAACTTGTTAATAGTAAAGCTACGATGAGAGTTCCCAAAGTGATTCACTAGGCATGAACGGCTGCTGTACATGGACATCCCAATTAATCTTGCATTTAACTTATAAATATTCCATCACAAAAGTTACAACCCTGGCCACCTATGCTTAATTTGTGCTTGTAATGCTAACAACGAGTTAATCATTCAGTCATTCTTATAGTACAACTAACAAGCGTGTTTTGTCCCTGCCTGAAGTCATCAACACTTTTGTGGAGAGTATTGTATACCCTTCTGGGTCCTGTGACTGTACAGTGTCATTACACTCATCTTTCACACCCCCAGAGTTCCCCTTAACTCTGAACAAACCACCAACATTACCTCATGCCCCCCTCCCCCCCCCAACCAGTACTGTGAAAAATGTTGCAAGTTTATGCATGTTAACTAAACTTTACAAGCACCATTCAAAACACATGTAGGTCAGGAAGGTTAAGCCTGTGTAAAGTTAACAGTTACTGTACAGGGGAGTGAACTCAATATGCTTGTAATAAATGATAAAAAAAAATAGTAATATGTATTAGAAAATACAGAACATGGTACAGTTGTTGAATAGTGGTTACATAAAATGCATATTTAATAAAACTACTAACAGTGTTTCAGGTGTTTCAGGCATGGGTAAGAGTCCTTCATGCTTTGGATATTATAGGAATTAACACGGACAAGCCTAGTTTGTCTTTTCACCACTATAGTAGTACATATAGCAGTGGGTGCATAATACGTACCTCCAGCTATACATTAGAATCAAGTTGTATAGGAGAGGGTAGCGACAGGTTCCAGACTGTGGGAGACGGCCATTAAGATAACTTCATAAAAAACCTATGGATCCTGCAACCTTAGGAGTTGTTATAACAGTCTGTGCAAGTGTTATAACAACTCATCATCTGCCATTTACTGAGTATTCCCCAGCATAATTGAGAATTTTGCAATTTTTTTTTGCCGTTCCCTTTGGGAATGTTTGGTTGTCTGTCAAGCCATGTTATGTATGTGCAAGATATTTGTTTCCACATAAAAATTACATAATACTTTAATGTATATAAAGTGATTGTTAGTGGTATTGTGTAAACTCTACACTGTTAACATGTTATATGATTGAAAACCAACAAACACATGGTAGCAATTTTTTTACATTAAATGTAGCAATTGGGAAAAAGTAGGGGGGGGGGGGGGGGAATTCAATCCTGCTAACCATTTAGAATCAAACAGTTGCTAAACTGTATTTATACTTTAAACACTAAATACTCTAAACCATTTCCCCAGTTGCATATAAACTACTACTAAGCAACTTTTAAGGAATAACTTTTTTTCAGATAACTTACAGAAGCCCAACATGTTGCTGTCGACACTACTTTCTCAGCGTATATTTTAATGCTTTAATTATCTTAAGTGTGATTCAGGTTGGCTATTTGCCCCTTTCTTCCCATTTGTGTATTACCAGTTCTCATTTCATCACTTTTTTGCCTACATTGTTTAGTTGCCAATAGACCTGCAGTTACCTTTATTCTCGTGCCCTCATATTAGCTCTTATTGCACTATACTTTCCCATTCACCCCTTACTGCTTTTCCCTCACTTTCCATCTTGTCCCATGTTGATACAACTTCCACTTGCTGTGGGCCAATGTGATAAGAGTCCGGGATGGACCAAAACAGCGTTACTTTCACGTCGTGTGTGGAATTACCCAAGTGTAGTTACAGGACGAGAGCTACGCTCGTGGTGTCCCGTCTTCCCAGCACTGTCATATAACGCTTTGAAATTATTGACTTGACCACCACCACCTTCTCACCTTACTTATTCCAACTGCCTACCACTCTGTTAGTGAAAGTGAATTTTCTTATATTCCTTTGGCAGCTTTGTTTACTTAGTTTAAATATATGACCTTGTTCTTGAAGTTCCAGGTCTTAGGAATTCTTCTCCATAAATTTTATTGATTCCCGTTACTATTTTGTACGTATCGCCTCTTTTTTTTATCCATCTTCTAGTTTTGGCATTTTAAATGCCTCTAGCCTCTCCTCTTGTGTCTTGTCCTTTGTCCTTCAGTTCTGGGAGCCATTTAGTTGCATGTCATTGCACCTTTTCCAGTTTGTTGATGTGCTGCTTAAGATATGGGCACCATATAACCACTGCATATTCCAGCATCGATCTAACAAAAGTTAACAAAAAAGGTGTGTGGTGGGCTGTGTGTTTAACATTATTGTGACATTTTCTACATGTTAACCAAGTAGAAGAGACCCATAATACAGTCAAATTACCTTTGAGAAAGTTTACTAAGATAATATACCTGTAATTCAATATTTCTTACTCTGATGTAATTAAGCACTTTATTCAATATATGTATAGTTTGCAGACAAATATTAATTTTATTGCTACATAAAATTTAGTACATTTCCAAAAGGAATGACTATTTTAAATCCAAGTGTTACCTCTATCGAATGTGTAGCATAATTCACCGATTTCAGTAATCATTTATGATCAACTTTCAAGACTTTAGTCCTTTGTAATCTCTTGAATGAGGCATCCCACTGTGTTACCCATTAGCACTACAGTACTAGTGGGAGACGAACAGTTTACATACGGTCATTTAAACCAGCATCCCAATCACCCTGGATACGCACCTTAACCCATGGACCACGATGTGCTTGCAAGTTACATAACCTGAAGTCTGCCCAAACTCTCAGAATTTGGAGGCACTGAGCCAATACCCAATCCAATTTTCCACGCAATCCCCCTACCTTACCTTGGTAAGGTAGGGGGTTTGTGACGATTTCGGGGCTTAGTGTCCCAGTCCTCGACCAGGCCTCCCCCATACATTCTGGTGTAATTCTCAGTTACAAATTCATCTGGTGCATAGAGCTTTTTTGTTAGTGAGGCCTGAATATGCCTCACTAAGTTATGAACGTTACCTTTACATTTATTTATTTTTTTTTTTACTTCCATGTTACCTGAACCCATGGATTGGAGCTGGCGAGGAGTTTCTAAACCAACTGGTGGCCAAATTGGACCTACCTAGTTTGTTTTTGAAGTGTGCTTCATCATACTTTGGTACATCTGTCACCCACCAAGCCAAGGGTTTAAGAAGGGTGACAGGGTTTATTGTAAAAAAAATGCTATACAAATTTTTAGTTACTTTTAATGTGAATTTATATCCCCCACAATATTTGCAGTACAAATTTTTGTTCACCAAGTAATGGCCAAAATTTTATGCCCAAGTATTGTTAATTAACATAGTAATTGCACATGTTAACAGTCTACTTGAGAATGGTCCAGGACAGACCGAAGCGTCATCGTCCCTTCATTTTCTAGTGTGTGGTCTGGTTAATAATTGCATTTTTGCAATTATTGCACAACTCTGGAACTAATTGCACAATTGGCCTAATTGTGTTTAATTGCACAACTCTGGAACTAAAGGTAATTGGCCTTTCGCAACAATTTTTATCCTTAGAGCAGTAACTACAAATTGCTAGATCATTGGCATGAACTCAAAAAATGTTGATTCAAATCTAAATGAGCAAAGACATTAGAAGTATTAGTTTTAACTTTCAGAATGCCGCTTTTTCAGTTTACTATACAGTACTTATCCAGCTCACAGCCCATGCATTGATTTTTTTTACATAATCCTTTAAAAGCTGGTAATACCATTAAGGAAGTAGAGAATGCAAAATCTATAACAGGTTGGAATTTACAAGGATGGAGGAAGGCCCACATTGCCATGAAATACCTATACCAGGGCAGTGAAGGAAATCTAGAGCAGGCCACCAAGCACAGGGTATCTTGTCCTGAGTGGCACACTTTCAATAGGGGGAAAGAAAACCACCGACCTTTACCATCAGTGGGCAAAAATGTCAAATGGTCAAATGATGTTTGTCCACTCTGGCACAAAGACCCAATTCCCTATTTAACTGTGGCCTGGACATCCTTAGCTCTTCACAGGGCAGGTCCTCTAGTGGGCAGTACAATGACCTGGTGTTCTTGTTGCAGTGTTTGTGTGTGTTCATCCATATGCTGCAATGACAGCCAAGAGGGGTACAAAACCTCCCTCCTCCATCCCTCCATCTGCTGGAGAATGGCCCATGGACTCTTGTCAAGGCAATTCCCATGAGGGGACTCTGTATTTTAAATTCACCTACAGTATTTTAGATACAGTACTGCAGACCAAGATTGATTTCTTTACAAATTTCTTATATTTCTACTTTGTAATGAATGTTGGCTCTGAATCTCTCAGAATGTTAGCTATAATAGTTTTGATATGAAAGCCACATTTGTACCAAATAAAGTATACAGTATGTAGACCAGAGATGTATAGTTTTATATATCTAGTCAATCTATTTTTTTTTTTTGGTGGGAAGGGGGGTGGCTCTTTGGTATTCTTTGTTTTTGCAGACGTTTCCCTCCACCACACTACAGTATATACACCATTACAGGAGTGGTACAACATGTATAATACATAACCATGAGCTGACTTACCCACCCTCCCACCCCTTCTAACCTCACACAATGTAATAGAACAATTCCCACGCAGTACAACTATTAAAGGACTAGCCATTTGTTCACCTTTTTAACCAGAAAATTTCTGGATAGTCAAAGAAAGTAGCAGCATGTTTAATTTTATTAATGAGCCAGGAGGAAAAATATCAACATTTATAATAGGCGCACAAAGAAATCAATGATTTATCAGCGAGAAAATCAGGCAGAGCTCTCA